TACCTTCAAAACTATAAAACCTATTAGTTGCAGTACGTGTAGTTGCGTTCGTAACTTATGCCACTATTTTTTATTTCGCAACCATACGCCACTGGTGATCGCTATGGTGTGACAGCACCTTTAGATTTTTATTTAATAATTTTACTAATAATTTTACGACAGACGACGAGTCTAAGGTGCCGTCACACCATAGCGATCACCAGTTGCGTATGGTGATTGCGAATAAAAAATAGTGGGCATAAGTTACGAACGCAACTCACACGCAACTATAGGTTTTATAGTTTGAGGTACGCAACAAGCACGCCAGGTGATCGCAGACACAGCGCAGAGTAAGTTCAGAAATTTTTGAACTGTTCAAAAATTCTCTGCGAATGCCTGCGATCAATTTATACGCAACAGGGACGCAAACAGGTACGCTACGCACGCGAACACGATCGCAACACGATCGACACTGGTACGCAACTCATAAGTTATGAACGCAGGTGATCGCAGGTCCAAATTTGAGGTATCTGGCCGGTTTGGTAGCGTACATGTTGCGAATGTGTTGCGTACCTGTTGCGATCATGTTGCGATCATGTTGCGATCCTGTTGCGTGTGTAGCGTACCACAACTATTGTGCGTATCGCCGCGTATCCCCAACCTATGCCCTGCGTATCCAACCTATTAGTTGCGTGTGAGTTGGCGTGTTAGTTGCGTTACTACATCGGGTCGTGAGAAATGGAATAATGTAGTGGGCCTTTCTAGATCGGTGTCAGTTGTGTGTGACCTCCGAGGTGACAACATGGAGCTACTCTTGCTGTTATTGGACATCAGTTTAATCTGGTCAATTTAGCACTCCAACACATACAGAATAGAATAAACAGAAGGGAGGAGAAGAAGAAGAAGAGAGTGTGGGCTTAGACCATGGATTAGCAGGCGCCTTCACTTTTGGTCTCTACGACCAGCTTATGGTGGAGCTCCGCGAACGAGGACCAAGGTGCATTCAAGAACTTCATGAGGATGCCCCCCGAAATGTACGATGAGCTGCTACGGAGAGTTGGTCCTCGCATCACGAAGCAAAACACCAAGTACAGGTTGCCCCTGGACCCTGGCCTGAAGCTGGCAGTCACTTTGCGGCACCTGGCCTCGGGTTACCAAGATACTCCGACATGCAGTACGGATGGAGAGTACCACCCAACACCATCTCAGTCGTGGTCCGTGAGGTCTGCCAAGCCATCATGATGAGTCATGGAGGAGGTGATGACCTGCCCACCACTCCTGAGGATGGCGTGCCATATCAGACAACATTCATGAAGAGTGGAACTTTCCCCATACATGTGGGCCCTAGATGGGAAGCACGTGGCATGTAGGTGTCCCCCCAACAGTGGATCCATGTATTACAACTACAAGGGGTTCTACTCTGTGGTGCTCCTGGCCCTGGCTTGGTGCTCCAAGCTTCAATGATGTCACGCAAGGACCGGAACCATCGTTGCAAGTGGGCGCCACCTTTGATCTCATCGTATGAGGGTACAGCACCTGGCCTGATCTTCCCACCTCTTCAGCTTCTTGCCAGTGTCTTTGTAGGCGTTGAGTTTGGGATTCCACATCATTGGGTTCTCCCTCAGCCACTCAACCATCAGAATCTCTCTGGCCTCGCTGATGGTAGCACATTCTTTGATTTTCCTGGCCTTGCTAGGGTTGGCCACATTCTCTTCCTTGGATTTGGTAGAGAACCAGAGCCATGTTCATCAGAGAATAGAAATGACTGCTGCATTATTTGAATGATGTGATGAATTGGAGGAGTCACGGGTCAATGGTTCTCTACGAGGAGGAGTTGGAGACCTGGGAGACCTGGACCTGGACCTGGCTCGGGTAGAGGCCTTTAACAGAGTTATACAGGTTTTTACCACGTGACCGATATTCGCAACTAGCACGAAGGTCCAACGCAACTTGTAAGTTTTGAACGCAACTCAAACGCAACTCGTAAGTTCTGCACGCAACTCACACGCAACTCGCACGCAACTCGAACGCAGGTGATCGCAGATATTGGGGGGATCATAAGTTTAGTTCGCAACCCACACGCAACCCACACGCAACTCACACGCAACCCATAGGTTGAATAGGTTGAATTGTTGATTTGGGTTGCGTTTGGTGCGTATAAAAATATTTTGTACACGCAACTCATAGGTTTCAGCATACGCTATGGTGTGACGGCGCCTTTAATAACAAACATCGAGAGAGAAAACACGAGGAAGCAATTATGCAACCGTAAAGCCAACCCTAATCATTGCTGCTCACCCGTCTCTTACTCCCACTCACTGATCCTCATCCGCATTCCCAACATCCCTCTCTTCTCCCTGTTCTCCTCTCCGTTGCCGCCGCCAACAAGAAACACCACAACAAACAACAACAACAACAACAACAACAACAACAACAACAACAACAACAGCAACAACAACAACGACGACGACAGGCACATCCCGCCCCACCGTGCAACCAAGCACGTGCAGCCGAGCTCCGTATGTGCACGCGCGCATGCGCGCATGCACGCGTGCGGTCCAATCGGAAAACCCATTCGACTCTTCCCGTCATGCCTAGAAAACAGCGCTATTCTCTGAATGGTCCGAGGGTACCCGATTGGCGTGCGGTCATGTCCATCTGTGTACGGCAGATACACTCACATACACCTGTTGTGCGCGAGGGAAGGTACACGCGTGCGCGCACGTACACGCGCACGTGCACATGAGGAGGTCGGTAGCATGGACAAATACAACGGGCAACCCCTCCGGTAATCCACTGCCCTCGTGGCATCCCTACGCTGTGACTGTGCACGAGTCTTTGCGTCTGTACGTGCGGTACCTCGCGAATTTATACATGCAATAATGTGTATATCCATCGCCCCACGCGTACGCCCGCGGTCGACGCTGACCGCTCTATCGAGTTGGCCAACTCGCAGTCGTCAGTGTAAACGCGCTGCACAGTTCATAGAACGGTTGATAGAGCGTTGGGAAGTTGGTCCAACACAAATTCACCAATGCCAAATTCGCAAATTCGCCAAACGTCAATTCGTCAACACAAGGTTGGCAGTGTAAAAGCAGCTTAAAGCATTTAGACGCCCCCATGAACTGTTGACAGTCTGTAGTTTATTGACATATTGCGCTGATCATACATGAATAATAAAATGTAAACGAACACAAAAATGGAAGATGGATGAGTTGAATGCCGTAATGAAGTTGTGGCAATTATACCCACACAGTGAAGTAATGTATTTCTACTGTGCCGTCGGATCCTTTTTGGCGGATGACAGTTGCCGTGATGGCGCTATCTCCCTCGGCGGCGGTGTAGCTGAGATCGCTAAAGCCAAACTCTCCCGGCTCTAACCATTCAACAAAACGTATCTATGTATTATCGTGAATGTAAATACGGGTTGCATACTGTCTATCTGTCACCGGCCCGTGCAATCATCTCCTTCATGTAACCGTCAGGTAGACTAGATGGCGACATTTAAAAAACTGCACGCGTTTGCAACTGATAAGACATGTTTCATATCCTTAAAGTGTTACGGTTTGGAAAGCTTCTGAATTTCCGTAGGATTACATCTGCATTAATGATCCTCATCGCTTAGCAACCTATGGACACACGTATTCACGTACGGAGTTTGCATTACATTAGATTGTTGTAGTTGCGAAAGGAACATTGTCAATATATAGAAGGTTCAATTAACGAACAATATATCAAAATTTAACATAATCAAAATTTCTGTCCTATTTAATTATTTGGCACACTATAAGAACAGGAGTACATGAATAGATTCACACACACATGTTCATTTTATTCAATTCATGTTACTATTAATGTACGCATATATAGAATAATTTTATCTATTCATATACTCCTGATTAGAATACGTCTATGTTGATTTAGAATCGCGATCTTACCATCGTCGTCGATGACCATGACTCTCACAACACTCGGATCACCGATGCCTATGGCACCGACAGGGTTCTTTAGGATCACGTAGAACTCAACGTCTGCCTCGTACTGGTCGTCGTTGATGATGGCGACGCTAACTGTACGCATCTGATCATCGTCGCGAAATTCCTGTCGGAGACAGCGTTATGATTGTAACTTATACATATATACATATTTATTTATTTATTTATTTATTTATTTATTTATTTATTTATTTATTTATTTATTTATTTATTTATTTATTTATATATATATATATCAGGAGTAGATAATAGGGATTATCTTACCTCCCCCTTACTTTACCTCCCACCTTACTTTCCCTATTATCTACTCCTGATATATATATATATATATATATATATATATATTATATATATTTGTTTATTTATTTATTTATTTATATTTGTGCGCACGCGCGTATGAGTGTGTGCCTGCGTCCGTCTGTCCGTGCGTGCGTCCGTGCGTCCGTGCGTGCGTGCATGCGTGCGTGCGTGCGTGCGTGCATGCGTGCGTGCGTGCGTGTGTGCGTGTATGTGTGTACGTGCCTGCATGCGTTTGTGTATGGGGGAGTGTGTATGTATGTAATTAAATTCATAGATAATAAATGACACCGAATTGTGCAGATTCTATGTGCCAGTTCTTTGTACCGACACTTGAGTTCCAGTTGAGTGTTATCGTATACTCTGATACGTGTCATACTTATCATGTGTAGCACTTAGAGTAGACATGTCGTTATGTATATACGCATATACTTCCTGTCGCTTAAAGAGACATTCGCTATATAAATTACGAATGTACCAGGTTATCATTACTCGATATAGGAAAAGATTCCGTAAATCGAATGGTGATACGCCTGAACCGGTATAACTGACCATGAACCGGTGGTATTGAACCCTGGACTCATACATGTAGCCGACAAGCACGACTCCAGCTGCGCTGCGACCGATATAGACATACCCCAATCTCTCTCTCTCGCTCTCGCTCTCTCGCTCGCTCTCTCTCTCTCTCTCTCTCTCTCTCTCTCTCTCTCTCTCTCTCTCTCTCTCTCTCTCTCTCTCTCTCTCTCTCTCTCTCTCTCTGATTTATCTGTTTAGTTAGCAGTAAGGCGAGATATGAGGCGCTTTTGCCGATAGCGCGAAGTGCTAAATGTACACATATGACGTATTTGATATAATATGATATGATAAGTATATATAATAAACTGAAGAAATCGAAAATCTACTGCTATATGCAGCTATGGCAAAGAAAGATCGGTCGAACGTTGAGGATAGCAAGCCGTTAGATGATTTTGATAGCATATTGTATGAAATTGGTAACTTGGGAAGATGGCAACTGATCGCATTCTTTTTTGCCGCCAGCGGAAGTTTCGCTCAGGCGTTCCACAACATCGTAATGCCATTTCTCGGGGCTACGCCGGAGCACTGGTGTCGAGTGCCAGAACTAGAATTACTGCCGGAGCACATGCAGAAGAACTTCAGCATCCCACTAGAAGAGAACAACGGGGACGTGACTTACTCGCAGTGCACCATGTTTGTGGCGAGAGACTATTCGCAGCTAGCAGCACTGTATCGGAACGGATCATTAGAGACTGTTCCGGCATCGTTCTTCAGTAATGTCGAGCAAGCCAAGTGCCAACATGGATGGCTCTACGATGCGTCATTTCGATCATCGACATTGGTCACGGAAGTAAGTGTTCTGTTAACGTGAACCATTAATTAATTGTCCGGTCGCGCGACCTTTACTTGTCCAATTATTTCCTATGGACCTCCCTGCGTTACTATATATAACGAGTCCCTGATAGCTAGTTATGGTTTAGTTATGAAAAATCATTTTCTCATAATATTCAGTATGCAAATAACGAATAATGGAGACGAAGTAGATATTTGCTAGTTTCGCTGATCGGAAAAATTCCCGTTATTGTACCTTGCATTGTGTATTAAATATTTTATTGGTATTGTGTATTGAATTATTGTACATGTGTAGGGCAATGCTATTAGCTAAGTGTTTTTCAACTATGTTGTCAGTTTGCCTGGCAAATTTACATAGGTCTTCCACCTTTTTCCAGTGGGATCTGGTCTGTGGAAAACAGGCGTTAGCAGCCTCTGCTCAATCTGTCTACATGTTGGGTATGATAGCAGGGTGCTACGGTTTCGGAACTCTGGCGGACATGTAAGACATAATAATAAATATAAATATAACTATAAATATAAAAATAAATATAAATATAAGAGAGTTTGTGCACTACAGAATAAAGATCGTTTCATTCGGAGGTGATGGACGGGTTATCACAGTAACTAAAACAATGAGCTCTGATATATGGCCTTGATATACAGGGGCGTAAATCCGTACCGAGGAGTGGGAGGGATGATCACGCGAAGGGGGGGTCCGGGGGGCCCTCCCCCAGAATTTTTTTGAAATTAGACCCCCTCAGATGCGTTTTCTGCGCGAGAAAGGAACTTTTCGGTCCGGACCCTCTGGACCCCTCCCCCCCCCCTGTACACGCCCCTGCAGTAATTGAAATGATTTAGGTCTGCCCATGTCTCCAAATTATCATAATTAGCTGAACTTTCAAGTGAAGGAGTTTTTTTTTGAATCTCAGGGGGGATATTTGTACAGGCCATCCCCCCCTCCTTCAAGAGCGGGGGGGATGCATCCCCCCATCCCCCCGGGATTTACGCCCATGTTGATATATGTAAATATTGCGAGACGAATGATAAAAATATCTATATATATAGGGTGTTTTTAATATACTTTATGTTTATCGGAGCCTTTGTTATGGTTGCTCATAGGAAAGGGAGGAAGTGGACAGTGCTTCTTTCGTCGTTGATATTTGCCCTGAGTGCCACTGCAGCATCTTTCTCTCCAAACCTCATCACGTTTTTTATACTCCGGCTAATTATCGGGGCAGCTTCTGCCGGAACGTGCAATGCTGCTTACATATATGGTAATTAAAACGATGGTCTTCTATGTCCTATATTATCGGTTTCTTCGACACACTGAGGAATATATTCAACTTTAAAAAACGTTGGTAAATATTTTAAGTACTTTTAGTCAACGCGTGACAGCAAACGTGTAGTTTCATGGTGGTACTTATACTGGTGGCACTGGTAGTACTTATACTCATGCTGGTACTTACGAATCGCTCTGCATGTTCTTATACAGGCATAGAAAGCGTTGGACCACTGTACAGAAACCGAGTGGGCGTTGGCGCGTCATTAGCGTATTCTACCGGCCACGTGTTAGTGGCTCTGTGTGCCTGGGTATTTCGCGACTGGCGATACCTCGAATTTTCCATATCTATCTGGCTGTTTGCTATGTTGATCTGGTACTTGTAAGTATTATCGATATACAGTTGTTATCAGATTGTATTAACAAGTCATGTTTCCGTGGTGTTTGCTCGACCTTTAATATAAATTTTCAGTTTCTGTCTCTGGTGGGAACAATTCAAGATTCTTGAAGGTATTCATGAACGATGATCAAGTTACTCTTATAGAAAACAATCACGGCAATACTTTCACGTTATTAACAGTTATTTTAGTTGTGTGAGCCTCTACGCGTTACATAATATACTGTCTGGTCCTAAGTCATTATATACCTTATCAAGTATATCTGCATCTGGACGCAAGCGCTTAATTAGGACTAATTACGAAAGCACGAAATTCAGATTACTAGGATTAATTCGAATTAAACATGTTACAAATGAATAAGATAGCAATTAAGGACTGAGATTACCAGAATACATGCATTGTTACTGGTTCGAGACAGATTATATTCAATTAGGGTGTGTATTAGCTTAACGCCTAGATAACGTGGTTCGATCCCTACCATTTATTTGCCGTGGATTCAGGTAATGCAAACAAACCCGCTGTGTGTATTGTGCATGCGTGCGTGCGTGTGTGCGTGTGCTTGGATGAGTGTGTATGAACCACTAACCACTAACCACAGGAAAACGGGCAAAAAATATTGTCCTTCGATCTATACTTATAATAAACCGTGTTATATTATATGTACAGACAGCCGTATGTCTATACATATAATATAACGTATTTTATTATATTTATAGGCAGACGGGAACTTTTTAGCCTTAAAAAAATTATGTGCCGTCAACCGCTCGCAGGCTGGCACGTACACACACTAGTGTGCACACATACCGACCGTTGTCTCTTACTCAACCATTTACCTAGTTTACGATTCAATTTCAATGTTATTATTAGGCTTGGCATTATTTAACCCCTATTTCGTTTAATCATATACAGTAAATAGCTCCAATAATTGTATTAAATATGATAGTAATCGTAATGTAAAAGTACCTATATTCACCGTATATCATCGAAAACTATCTAGATTCCAATTACTGAGTGTGTATAATGTGAATTTTCGACTAGGGTTCTATTATTCAGATTAGATGGTTCAAACATCGATTAGAAACTCTACAATAAGAGTCGTACTATAATAGCCAGTGTAAAATTATTGCAGTATTATCCCGGAGTCTCCTCGTTGGCTCTACGCTCAAGGGAGAATGGATGAGTGCGAACACGCCCTGCGAAGAGTCGCGAAGAGAAACAGGAAAGCCTATCCAGACCACATTGATCTCAAGCAGCATTTAAAGGTGCAGATCAATACAGATCTTGGCAGCCGTGCGCTATAGCCAAGAGCATTATTATACCTATTAAACAACTAATCAGTTTTTACGGAACGTATAGTTATTTTATTATCTTTTAGGACTACATCGCCTATGTATTGGATTAACCAGGGCGATCGAAAGTAAACTAAATTTCGTGCGAAAAGTATTTTCGAATCATAATTAAAATAAATAAATTGAAAATGACTGATATCGACTACGGTGCCTAGATCCATAGAGATATATCCTAATACACTATGTAGAGATAATGAAAGAGTGTAAATAAATATATGCCAATACCGCTTGAAAAGCATATGTCGATCGCTGCTTCAGTCTTATAGAGTTACGACAACCGATGGGAAGTCACGGGAGGCAAATATCACGGATTTAGTTCGGACTCCAAACATGCGAAAAATTTCATTCATCATGTGGATGCAATGGTACAAGACTAAAAACGAATATTATTAGCTACCAATTAACTATAAATTAATAAGATTGTATTCTGATCTTAAAACATCACGTTCAATTCTCGCTTACCTTAGAATCTTATCTTCAATTTCTTAGTCCGTAATTTGAATGTATAACTCATTAATCGCACGCGTGTGTTACACACTAATGTTTATAAGCCGTAGCTATTACACTGATGATATGAACGTATTTTAATGATTCGCGATCATATGTGGGTTTGGGAGATTATATTCATATATTCAGTTAATCTTTCAATTGCAGGTTCACAGTAGCTCTCGTTTATTACGGGCTCGCTCTCAATTCAGCCAACCTGGGAACAAACCCCTACATGAGTTTTGTGATAATGGCCCTAGTAGGGTATCCAGCCAACTATCCCTGCACGGCCCTGATCCTAAAGCACCTCGGAAGACGGTTATCGTTGTCACTGACCGCGCTAATTGGAGGAGCTAGTTGCCTGTTTATAGCCTTGCCCTGGCCTACGCGTAAGTATATGCTATGGAGCGAGACACGTGACCCCAAATCAGCGGATTTTTATTATGTTACATCCATTATTTTCCACACACACGCGCGTGCGCGCACACACACGCGCACGCGCACGCGCGCACACGCACACACACACAACACACACACACACACACACACACACACACACACACACACACCGCACACGCGCGCGCGCGCGCCCATCCACGCACTATATATATATATGTATTTATTTACTTATATATCCACACTATACGGTGATATCCTCAACCTGAAGTGTGTTATTGATGTAAGGATTTCTGTGGGTAAAGTAACAAAATCCTAGTTGCTGCGTCAAGGTACCGACTTTGTACCTACAGTCTACAGTAGGCCTATACAGCATTGAGATATAAGATGTTTTATATCCCCGCAACCCTTTACGATAAAGTAATAATAGAGCGCTTATAGCGACCAAGAAAGCTAAGCGTTGAATGTGATTTCTGTCTATACTTTGATCGTTGAGGGACAAGTTACAAATGTCGCGAGCCTAACGTTTTTTTGCGCTATTTTATATTTATGTGTGTAGCTCTGGCGCTTGTGTGATGTCATTCAAAAAATAACTGCATTTTAATTTGACGTGTGTAGATCTGAATTGGGTAATTGTAACATTGGCTACGATCGGGATGTTCGGCGCAAATGGCATGTTTACCGTTAATATGCTCTACACTGGAGAGTTATACCCAACAGTCGTAAGGAATATTGGATTTGGTACCGGCTTTACATGGGCTAGATTTGCTGGACTGTTGGCGCCATACGTGGTGCTACTGGTAAGTTGATAAAAACCACGTAATATCGCAATTTTCCTTTTGCACACAAAAAAATTACATAAACCTCAAAGGATCTGACTGATCGAGCAATATATACTGTGACAGCGATTACCAAAGTGATAAAGGTTATATACGCGAGTATAAGGTTTACCATACAATCGCAACCGCTTGGAAAGTCCGAAAAGCTCAGATACTTCCAAATAATGGTATTCGTTCATGCCGCTGAAATGTGAATCGCATATGTTTAGCAATCGTTAAATTTGAGTGACGTCATTGTTCATACGACTTACGGACAATTTTTTACTTTCAGGGAAAATATTCACGGGAACTGCCGCTCATCATATCTGTAGTTCTAGCCATCGCAGCCGCTATAATGGCATTATTCTTGCCAGAACCATAGACAGAGAAACTTCCAGAGACATCGAAGACGTGAAAACTTCGGAAGGGTAGGTACAGTATATGAGTAAATTCATGTGAACCGTTTTTGTTCGATTGATAAAAACACAATGTAGTGAATTTTCTTGCTCCTGATCTGGTCTCACACACAAATTCATTTGTACACCACAGTACAATTCACCAGCGTTAAACTAAGCTATCTCAAAGTCGTTTGAACCATAACAACAATAAATCGGTCTAATGATAAAAACGTGTGGTTATACATGATGCGCGATAGAAATACAATCTCAATCGGGTTGAGATACATGTTCAACAAGGTGACCGTTGTCATAAAACATCATAAATAGTTATAACATGATGGATGTAAATTGTCATAACCTTTAAAGTGAAGTGTCGTGCAAAATTTACGACATTTTATATTCATAGCAGTTATAATAATTACTAAGCATAACTATTTTATGTTTCCGTCAACACAAGCCTCTATTTTCTCTTTTCTAGGCAGCACAAATTTTCTATGCTTCCCCAGCAAATGAGCAGATGGAAATTATGTAAAGGATGGATCTTTCTTTCGCTTTCCGACTTATCGTAAAATATTAAAAACGAGCTTCAGAAATTATTTTTAATTCGTTATATTTCGATGAATAGACTCGACGACAGAAAGAGAGAGAGAGAGAGATATGTGTTGTGATGTTGAAGAATATTAGATAGACGACGACAATGTCGAAGATGACAATGGCGACGTCGACGATGACGATAGTGGCGAGAGCCGATAACATCCTTTATTGGGACGACAACATCAACAAATAACGGGCAAGAAAATAAACAAACAAACAGAAGGAAGTGTACCGTCTACTGTTTATTTGCTCACATTGAAGAAGCCGTTTATTCACACTATTGCTCTGTCACGTGATCGAATTATGTTGTTTGGTCCGAATAACACACGCCGCGTAAACACATTTACAATCCAGTTTCAGCGTGTCTACATTTAAGAGATTTTGAGAAAATATAAGACAGAATCGTGATTTGTTGACAAATATATCGATATCATGTTTGCTGTAGAGCTGTCGGCACAGGCAGCCGTTCCTATGGTAATGTTTGTCGTATATGTTATTCTTCGGTGACCAGCGCTGATAATGTAATTTTATCTTCTCCTAATAACATAACATATACATTAGCACGGTCACGCGTTTAGTTTGCTAAGCACACATAGTTCTAGGGTATAATATATACCTCTTTTCTAATTGTTATCATTGACATTAGACTAGTCGGCAAATCCAGAAAGCCACAAATACGCATACACACACACACATAAACACAAACACCTACACACTCAAATACGCCGCAATCACACACACACACACACCACACCACACACACACACACCACACACACACACACACACATACACCACACACACACACACACACACACACCACACACACACACACACACACACACACACACACACACACACACACACACACACACACATGCACACACACACACACACACACACACCCACACACATTACACACCACACACACACACACACACACACACACACACACACACACACACACACACCCACACACACATAAACACTAACACCCATGCATGCAAATACGCGCACACACGGCGCCCACACACGCGCGTGCACGCTTGCTTCATTGCAGAAATACGTTCAATCTCACCTGCCGCGCACAGGCACAAGCGCTGGGCCAACATTATAGAATCAGCACCGTGT